GCCGCCCGGTGCCCACCCCCGGACCGGCACCGCCCCGGCACCGGGACCACCCCCGGCACCGCCCCGAGACCCCCAGACCCACCCCCGGCACCGCCCCGGACCCCCGGCACCGCCCCCTGCACTGCCCCGAGAATCGGGACCCATCGCAGGGACAGTAACGGAGTCCGGGACCCCTCCCGGGACTGCTGCGGGACCTGGACCGGGACCCGGTACCGACACCGGCAACCCGGGACTGACCCCGGTATCGGCAGCGGCATCTCAGGACCACCCCCGACATCGGCACCGACTGCCGGATCCACCTCAGACACCACCTCGAGCCCCGGCACAAACCCCGGCACCGATCCCGACCCCCTGCACCACCCCCGGTACCGCCCCGAGACCAGGACGGGGACCCGGCACTGCAGCGCCATCGCAGGACCTTGGCACTGCCCGACCCCCGGACCCATCCCCGGGACCGACCCCGGTACCGTGACCCACCCCCGGTACCGGCACCAGCCCCGGTACCGATCCCCAGCACGGCACCAGCCCCCCGGGACTGACCCCGGCCCCAAACCATCCCTGCCCTCCCAGGGCACCCCACAGGGGCCCAGGGCGTCCCCAAAAGCCCCCTCTGCACCCCTGTCCCCTCAGACCCTCCAGCCCCGCTGTAGGTCCGGTCAGGCACAAACACCTYCCCCATGGGCAGCGATTTATTGTCCGGGGGGCGCAGAGGGGGCTGGGGTCCCACGGAAACTCAGGGGTGGGGACACGGAGCTGGGCGGGGGTGGGGCACAGGGGGACCCGGGGACACCGCTACTCCTGGGCACCCCCCGGCTCCTGGGGCTGGCCCGGCTCCTGCGTGTCCCCCTCGGCGGGCGGCCGCGTCCTCTTGAAGAAACCCGCCTGCGAGGGGACACGGTGACAGTCGGACCCTGGGGACATCCGCGGCACGGGCCGCAGGGACCCCACAGCGTCAGCCCCGCTGTGGGGCCACCCACGGACCCCATGACATCACCCCATAGGGACACCACAATGTCACCCACCTGGGACCCCACTGCATCAGCCTCTGGGGACCCCAAGTGTCACCCGCCAGGGACCCCACAGTSTCAGCCCCACAGGAATCCTTGCAAGGCCACCCTAAGGACCCCGTGACATCATCCCTGAGGGACCCAACAATGTCACCTGCCCAAGATCCCACCCGTGCTGCTGTCCCCCCATGCTGTCCCACAGCCCCCACCCCCAGGACAATGTCCCGTGTTTCACTGTCCCTCTGGTGTCAGTGTGGCCCATGACCGCTATGGTGGGTGTCCCCCCAAGCAGTGTCCCCAGCGTCCCCAGAGTCCCCCTGTGCCCACTGACCTTCCACATGAGGAGGATGAGGAGGGTGAGGAGCAGGAGCCCGGCCAGGGCCCCCAGCACCACCCACCAGACCGGCACGGCCCCCTCGCCCCCGGGGCTGGCGCGCACCACRCGCGTGTCCGTCTGCRGAGGGACAGCTGGGTGACAYCACTGCCACCACCGCCTGTCCCCGTGTCTCCAGGCCCACACGAGCCCTACCTTGGCCTGGCCGCTGGGCAGGAGCCGGGGCTGGACRCGGTAGGGCATGGCCGAGGTGTTGAACCAGGCTTGGGACTGGATGAGGAACTGCGTCAGGAGGTGCTCCGGCTGGGGACAGGTGAGTGGGGACACAGGACACGTGGGGACAGGGCAGCAAGGGTGCTGGCAGCAAACAGGGCACCCATGACCCTGCACGTGGCATCCCCAGGGGGTTCTCTGATGAACACCACGCAGGAGGGGACATAGCAGGGATGCCCTGGGGCCACCCTGTCTCCTCTGTCCCCAGGAGGGGACAGTACCTGCTGCAGGGTGTCCATCCAGAGCAGGGCGTGGACGCTGACCAGTGCCCGCTGGTCCTTGGCCAGGCTGGGCACGTGGCAGGTGATGTCCACGCACGTGGCATTGTCACAGTCCTGAGGGACACAGAAGATGTTGGGGGACCCCTCCCGGGGGGACAGCCCCGCACCCACTGTGGGCTGCAGGTCCCCAGGATCACCCGGGGGATGGGGTCCCCCAGCCCCATCATTGCCCGCAGGTCCCCAGGGTCACTCCTCACCACTCGGACGAGGTCCCCGGGCGCGGTTCCCGGGGCCGGCCCGGCCTCCCGGCGCTCCCGCTGGTGGGTCTCGTTCCCGRGCGCTGCTCCCGTCGGGCGGGGGATGTCCAGCTGGAAGGGCACGCACAGGTGACAGCCACGTCCCTGCCACCCCCAGCCCGCGGTGGGCAGGATCCCGTACCTGGGCGGGGTTGAGGGCGGGGTGGCCGGAGCAGTCGGTGCCACCCTCGGTGCCCAGCTCCAGCAGGTAGAGCAGGACGCGGCCGCCCAGCAGGTGKGGCACGGCCAGGCGCAGGGTGACCCCGCTGACCGTGCTCGGACCCTTGTTGTGCAGCTGCGGGAGGACAGCGGGGTGACGCCGGGGAGGGGACACAGGGGACAGCCCCGGGCCCCCGCGGACGCGGTGTCCCACCTCGTAGACGTGCTCCACCTTGATGCCATGCTCCTCGAGCCGTCGGCTGCCTTCCTGCCGGTGCCAGCTCGTGGGCAGCACCGTGGTGGCAGGCAGGGAGTTGCTGGCGGGAGAAGGGGTTCAGTGTCCCCTTTTGTTCCCCCCGTTATCCCCGTGTCCCCCTTTGTCCCTGCCGTTGTCCCCGTGTCCCCAGCCCCTCACCCTCGCAGCTCCATCTCCGCCTCCGCCTCCACGGGCACTGTCACCGTCACCGACGCGTTGCTGGGGCTAGGGCTGTTCTTGCTGTGGGGACACGACGACATGAGGGAGGGACACCGAGGATGGGGACAGGCTGAGGGCGCAGCGGTGTCCCAGCGGTKGCGGGGGACGGGGACAGCAGGGTGTCACCTCCGCAGCTGGAGGTGGAAGGTGATAGCCTCCCCCATGTCCTCCAGGCCGGACACGCTCAGTTCCATGTCCACGGTGATCTGGGGACAGCAGAGGGGAGGGGACACAGGTGGGTGACCGGCCCCGATGGGTGACGGGCACAGCAGGGCCCCCCCAGYCCTTACCCGGGCCCCCGCTTTCATGGGGTTGCCCAGCTCGCAGAGCACCACGTGGGTCCCGTTCTCCTTCTTGGGGTTACAGCTCAGCTTCTCCTGGCCCTGAGCAGGGGACACGGGAGGGGACACAGGGTGGGACATAGGAAAGGGGTCAGGGGGAGGGGACACGTCATGGACCTCCCCACGCACCGAGCGGCGCAGGGTGTGAGGCCCCCACCCCAGACACCCCTGCCACCCATCACCACTGGGCACCCAATAAAGGATGGCGGCCACCAAGGGCAGGAGAGGAGCCCCCCACCCCAGGATCCCTGGGGACAGGGTGGCAGCCACCAAGGGCGGGACATGASCCCCCACCCMAGGATCYCTGGGGACAGGGTGGCAGCCACCAAGGGCGGGACATGACCCCCMACCCCAGGATCYCTGGGGACCCATCCCCAACGGGCACACCCTGGGGACAGGATGGTGGCCAAGGGCAGGACAGGGGCTCCCCACCGCAGTCACCACCAAGGACAGGATGTGACTCTCCCTGTCACCCTGTCACTGTGTCGCCCCAGCCCGCACGCACCGGGATGCTGCTGCGGGCAGCCTGGTAGTGGGTGCCGGGGGGCAGCTGCACCCTCAGCTCCGCCTCGAAGGCGCCCTCGCCCGCGTTGGTGGCCTTGGCTCTCAGCGACAGCGCCGCCTCCTCCCCGATCAGCAGGCGCTGGCTGGGGCTGGGGACACGGGGACAGGGCTCAGCACCCAGCGGGGACACCGGGCACCCCGTCACCCCCCCGTGCTCACGTGTCGGCGGCCAGATGGAGGTCGGGGACGCACAGGTTGTCATCGCCGCAGTCCTCCAGGATGATGTGGGTCTGGGAGGGGACACGGAGGGGACACAAGATGTGGGAGGGGGAGCCATTGGGGACAGCGGAGACATCCTGGGGAGGGATTGTGGGTGGCAGAGGGGACAGAGGGGACATCCCACAGGGAAGATGTGGGATAGTGCAGGGTAGAGAGGGGACATTGCAGGGAGAGGGGACACTGCAGGGCAGGGAGGTGACATTTCCGAGAGGGAAGAATGGGGACAGCAGAGGGGACATCCAGGGGGACGATTAGGGACACGCCAAGGAGGGGGGAGGGACAGCAGTGGGACATCCTGAGGAGGGATTGGGATGGCAGAGGGGACTGAGGGGACATTCTCAGAGTTGGGGGAAGGGGGACAGTGATGGGTACAGARGGGACATCGCAGAGAGGGATTGGGGTCTGCAGGTGATCACAGAGGGCTGGGCAGGAGGGTCACGCCAGGGAGTGGCAAGGGACAGTGGGGACGACATTCCAGGGGGAATGGGGACAGTAGGGGAAGTAGGAGCCACATTCCAGTGGAAACTGGGGACAGTGCAGGGGACAGGGGCAATGTCCCAGGGTGGTGTTGGGGACACTGGCACAGGCTGGGGTCCCCGGAGCTGGGCACACCCAGGCTGGGGGTTCCCCCAGGTGCCCTGGCCCCACGTGGGGACGAGCCCACCCCGTGTCACCACAGTGCCACCCCCGAGAGCCATGTCCCCCTACCTGTGCCTGCACCAGGGTGTCCCCGTAGAGCACCAGCCTCGGGCCCTTCCCGGGCAGYGCCAGGGCCACGCTCAGAGCCACCGGGCTCAGCTTGTCCTTGAAYTCGGCCTCGTCCTGGGGACACCCATGGGGACAGAGCACTCCGGAGGGTGCCCCGTGCCCACCCCACAGCCCCACCCACCACTGTCCCCATCCCTGTTAGCCACCTGCTGGGACAGGGGGACACTGTTACCCCAATCTCTGTCCCCATCCCTGTTAGCCACCTGCTGGGACAGGGAGACACTGTTACCCCTATCTCTGTCCCCGTCCTGGCTGCAGATGCCGCTGTCCCCATCCCTGTCCCCATCCCTGTCCCCATGCTGGCTGGAAATGTCACTGTCCCCATTCCTGTCCCCATCCTGGCTGGAGATGTTACTGTCCCCATTCCTGTCCCCATCCTGGCTGGAGATGTCACATCCCCATCCCTGTCCCCATCCTGGCTGGAAATGTCACTGTCCCCATTCCTGTCCCCATCCTGTCTGGAGATGCCACAGCCCCATCCCCATCCCGCCCTCCACGGATTGTCCCCAGGCCGTGCGGTGCTGTCCCCGTGCCCGTACCCGCAGGTAGGCGGTGAGGTTGGTGCACCGCGGGGGTGTCCCCGGTGCCAGCTGCAGCCCGTCCTGCCAGGACGATTGGTGTCCCTGCAGCAGCAGGACCCGCCGCGACAGCCGCGGCTTCAGCCGGTCCAGCTGCAGCTCCGCCTCCAGGCCTGGTGGGGAACGGGAGGGTGGCACTGGTGACACCCCCGGTGACACTCCAGGGGTGCCCACGTGCCTTCCGGGTGACGCTGGCACTCACGGATGCTCTGAGGGATGTGCTGGCCCGTCACGGTGACACAAAACACCACGGGGAAGCTGCGGGGWGACAGCACCCAGGGGTACTCAGGGACATGTCCTGTCCCTTCGGCAGTGTCCCCAGAGTGTTCCCCATAGCAGTGTCCCCACAGCAGTGTTCCCATAGCACTGTCCCCTCACCAGTGTCCCCACAGTGATGTCACATATTGTCCCAACAGCAGTGTCCTCAAGGCAGTGTCCCCATAGCAGTGTCCCCACAGCAGTGTCCCCACGGCAGTTGTCCCCACGGCAGTGTCCCCTTGGCAGTGTCCCCCCAGCAGTGTCCCCTCGGCAGTGTCCCCATAGTGTCCCCACAGCACTGTCCCCACAGCAGTGTCCCCATAGTGTCCCCACAGCAGTGTCCCCATGGCAGTGTCCCCTCGGCAGTGTCCCCACAGCAGTGTCCCCATAGCAGTGTCCCCAMRGCAGTGTCCCCTCACCAGCTGACACGGACGCTGGAGTCGGGCAGGACGCAGTCCAGGACTTCAGGGTTCAGCCCGTCGGGGACACTCAGCTGGGTCCGGGCCACCACCACGGGCAGTCCCCTGGGCCGCGGGGACATTGCTGAGGTGCCGGGGGACCCCGCAGGGAGCCCGGGCCACCGCGGGGACGGGCACTCACCGGTACACGGCCACCCTGTCCGCGCCGTACGCCCCCACCAGCACATCTGCGGGGACAAGCAGGGTCGGTGGCGGGGAGGGGACACCGGGGTGACAGCGCGGTGCCAGGGCGGTGGCAGGACTGTCCCCAGGGGCCGTGCCCGGGCCGTACCCGCGCAGCCGTTGCCGTCCAGGTCGGTGGCCCCGCGCAGGGCGAAGCCGAAGGCGGCGGGGCCGGGGAAGGGACTGTCCAGGCGCTGCGCGGCCACCGGCGTCAGCCCCTCGCTGTGCCCGCGGAAGATGAACACCTGCCCGCTGCCACTGTCACCCCCCTGCGGGGCACCCACGGCCACRTCTGGGGACAGAAGGGTCGTCAGCACCCACCCGGCCGCTTCTGCCTCAGTTTCCCCAAGGCACAGCCCCCTCCCTCCCCTCCCCGCAGCGCTGTTACCGCCGAAGCCGTCCTGGTCCAGGTCGCCGAGGCTGGCGATGGCGGCGCCGAAGCGGCCGTAGGGGTGGGTGCCCGTCAGGGTCTGGGGGGGCCCGGCCAGGGGCTGCTGCCCCCTCCCCAGGTAGAGGTAGAGGCGCCCCAGCTCGCTGCGCTGCCCGTCGGGGCGCCGGGCCATGTAYAGTGGGGCACCCACCAGCAGATCGTCCTTCCTGTGCCCGGCGTGGGGTCAGGGTCAGCGCCCCCAGGTTTGGGGGCTGGGGRCACCCTGGGGGTGCCAGGCACGGRGCAGCACCCCTGGGTGTCCCCATGGAGGAGGTGGGGGACTGTCCCTGCTCTCACCCGTCTCCATCGACATCGGCCACTGCCACCGTGTGCCCGAAGTACGAAGCCACCTGGAAAGGGTCCGGGCCGGGGGTGGCACCGCGTGGTGCCAGGGGCACCGTGAGCGAGGGAATGGGGGAGCAGGTGGGTGCTGGGATAGAGGGCGGGGTGCTGTGGGGCACGGGGGGTTATTGGGGGCTGGGATGTGGGATTGGGGTGCTACTGGACACGTAGAGGTGTTGGGGGGTGGGCATGGGGGGCTGGGGTGCTGTGGTGCACGTAGAGGTGTTG